AACCTGTTTGGGGGCTGACAGTTGAAGATTTTCCCTGGGCAGCAGCCCCAACATTTGTGGATGTACTTCTTGAAGGGGAATCTTGGCGGTATACAACAAAGTCCACAAATGCAAAATTACAACTAAGTAAATTATGAGAAAAGGAAGACTTCATTCAAACCCAAAAAACATACCTATCCTTTTACTATTATTCTGCAGTCTTCCAATTTAGCAAAACTTTGTGGATGTACATTAACCTGGGTTTCCTACATCTACGTGCAATACCGTTATTGATTATTTTATATTTTGAAGGCCTCTTTCTAGTCTGAGAGCTCTGGGTGGAAGACAGCATGACGTCTCCATCTTTTTTCTTATTCACTTTGCATATATATTTATGCGTAAAGTTTATGTGGTGGCTATTTATTGGGTGTTACCACCCAGTGATGCGACTCATAAACTGGTGATGCTTATTTTGCGAACGTTCTATTCCTTCTCTATTGGTTTTACTTTCTACAGAAGGTCCTGCATTAAAGGATAATGACCACTCTGTGCACATTCTACTATTTTATCCCTACTCTTTCATTTGCATGCAGACATCTTTAAGTCTTAATAGTTCTCATTATATTTTAAGGGGAAAACATGTACGCCAAATAGACTTTGTTAGGTAGCCAACATTAGCCTTTACAAAGCACTTCATCAACACTGAAGTTAAATTACTTTTAGATTCTGCTTCTCCAAAAATATTTCTTGTCTTTACTAGAGCTAATTTTCAGGAGGTTGAAGTTCAGCTGTCTTCAGTAATTCCCACGTGTTCTCATGACTTTTATTTTGAATAGGAGTATAACTTTTGTAGCTTATTTCTGATCTCCATGTAAATTCATTTTTTGAAGATGAGATGTCATATCACTATTAATACCTGCAAACATCAAAACTTTTATATTATATTTGGAAGCCTCCATTGGTTCTCAGTAACATTTCCAGAGAGAGAAAGAGAAGAAAAAATACACCCCACTTCTCTTTAACTTCAACATTGATGACTATCGTTTTTAGGTTCATTTTCTTGACCATGGAAAAAATTTCCTATTCTTCAATTTGATAGTAGCCAGTCATCACCGACTATTAAAATGTAGCAGAAGAGGTATTCATTTTTACCTTCCAGTTCCTTCAAAAATTAATGTCTTTAGAAGTGACTCTAGAGGTGTTTACAGAAAACTATTGCTTTAGGGGAGAATATATCACATACATACACTGGTTGAACATTTGGAAATGGGTGTAGTTCTGTTGCACTGTGGAAGAACTGTAGTCCCAAACCACAGAAAGTGTTGCTGAGAGCCCCAAATCTGTCACAAAAAATGATTGTGTGGAAGCTTCCCAAGACAATTCGGCACATTATGCTGAGAGATCGAACACTTTTTACAAAATTCATTGGAAGGCCCGGTGCTGAATAAATAATGTAAAAACTCTTCCATGCCAAGCTCTGCCACCACATAGCTTCCTCTAGTATAGCATTTGGTCCTTCGTGTGCCCATCTGGATGCCTTTGTAATAGAGTGTTTTTCTGGGAAATATTCATTTTGTAGCATAAGTGTATATATTACATGGTTCCTCGATATAAATTCTAAGGGAACAATTATTGGGAGATTATTTCATAATATTAGTAGCCACATATTTAGAGAACTAAAGATTAAATGTTGTGACTGTATTGAAGAGATGAATTGTATCTTCCAAAGATTCCTATGTTGAAGTCCTAACCAGGATACCTCAGAAGAGGACTTTATTGGGAAAGAAATTACTCAAAAGGAAAGAACAACTGGGATGAGGGAAAACAGAAAAGAAAGAAGGGGAAAAAAAATACACACACACACACACACACACACACACACACACACAAGATAGCTAAGGTAATTATACTACTAAGTTCTATTGATTTATTTAAAGGAACAGTTAATGTTTAATTGTTTGATCAATCTTACATACCTAGATCTGGTTATCTGTGTAACCACTTTGAAGATAACAACATGTAATACAACAGCCATTGTTAATTTCCTACCACTTTGTTTTGAAATTCTGTATCATTTTTACTGTTTTTATGTTGCTTTGTTCATGTCTTTGTTTTTATTCCTTTCTCTTTAAAATGAAAAAGGGCAATTATAAAAAATGTGGTCCCTGAGTTTGGTAGTAATCTAATGTGACTGGTGTCCTTACAAGGAGAAAGTTGGACATGAACACATACAGAGGGAAGACAGTCATTTATAAGCCAGGGGGAGACCAACCCTGTTGACACTTTGATTTGGGACTTTTTTAGCTTTCAGAATGGAGGAAAATTAATTTTTCTCTTTTAATCACTCAATAGTGTTTCATTATGAGAGCTCTAGCAAAATAATATACTGTTTGCAGCAATAAGAAATCTCACTGAATTTTTTGTTATACTTAGATATAGTTCCCAAAGCTTGCTATTTAGCCAAAAGATGTCATAATTAGAGCGACACCATTAGTAAAGAAAACTACATTTGGATTTTGAAAGCATATTTGAATTTTTATAAACTATTACATGTCCAAGAAAGATGTCACGGACAGCAGTTATAATAAATGTTGTTTCTAACTTTTAAAACTACTTTTCGGTTAAATGAAAGTAAACAGAGGAATAATTGGTGTTTATTTTTCCTCAGTGTAAGTAGTGGTTTATTTTAAAGCTAAGTTATGAGAGCGTTGAACAGAGGTCTAGGCTTCCAATGTTAAATGAGCAGAGTCTCAGTAGAAATTTTTTTGTAAGGCAAGAGTCACTTTTGTAAAAGGATCATTGACATTAAGAAATCATACTTAAGGTACTATGTCATGAGTTTTTATAAATTATTCTTTCCTTTTCAGAAATTTGTGTTATCTTAGCATAAATGATTGGGGAAATAATGTTGTGTCATTAAAATATAGAGTAAGGCATATATATTTTTCCCTTCATTCTTTGTTTCTTTTTTTCCTTTCCCTCATCCCAGTTGTTCCTTCCCTTTAAGAAATTTCTTTCCGTTTTACAATATCTATTGTGCCTGTCAGGTTTTATTTGCTATTTCAGGTTCTTACACCAGGGAGACAATGCAACGTTTACACATTCAGGTCTGATTTATTTCACTTATGAGTATGGTTTCTAGTTGCACCCATTTACCTATGAAAGCCTTGAGTTTATTTTTTCTATAGCTGAGTAATACTCCATTGTATAAAAAATACCACGCCTTTCTTATCCATTCCTCAGTTGATGGGCATTTGAGTTGTTTCCAAGATTTAGCTATGACAAATTGCACTGCTATAAACATGGGTGCATATAGATCAGTGTGGTATGATGTTTTCCTATACTGCTGTTGTCTATTGGTTTATTTAAAGTAACAGTTAATGCTTGAATTTTTTTGACCAAATTTGCATACTTATATCAAATTAATTAATCTGAATAGCTGGTTTGAAGACAACAATATGCAATATAACAACCATTGTTGAATTCCTGTCATCTTGCTTAGTGAAGCTCTGTATCATTTCTAACGTTTTTTAAATTATGTTTTATTCTCTTTAATTGTTTGATCAATTTTGCATTTATACATGTGGTAATCTGTGCAACTTCTTTGAAGATAACAATATGTAATACAACAACAATTGTTAATTTCCTATTATCTTGTTTTTGAAATTCTGTATCATTTTTATTGTTTTTGTGTTGTTTTGTTTTTGTCTTTGCTGTTGTTTTTTTTCTGTTTAAAATAAAAAATGATATAGAACAATGCAAGGTGTAATAATTCAATTTAAATAAAAAATTGTTGTTGGTGTCTCATGGCTTGCCATTTTCTTGGCTTCCTTTGACAGTATTTGACTAAAATGGGTAAAATGTGTGTTATAAATGTATCCCTGTAAAACTCATATTGAAGTACTAACACTCAGCGTATTAGCAAAAAGGGTCTTTAAAGAGTAAGTAAGGTTCAGTGAAGTTAGATGCATGATGCGTAACCCATAGAGCTTGTGTCCTTACAAGAAGACAAGAAACTAGGGTTGTGAGTGCATAGAAGAAAGAGCAGACGAGGACCACAGGAAAAGGCAGCCACCTGCAAGGCCAGAAGAGAGCCTTAGGAGGAACCAGCCCTGCCTCCACCCTTTACCATGAGACAATAAACCTTTGCTGTTGAAGCCACGTGGACTCTGGTATTTAGCTATGGCACCTTTAGTGAACCAAGGCAATGCAGGTCTCACATGTCATAAGAGAGAATTTGTTATACTTTCTAAAGTCATAAGAGAGAATTTGTTATACTTTCTAAAAAGAAATAGTTTTCAACACTGCATTTGGTTTCTTATTTATAGAAAGTCAATGGTTTGTGTTCATGTTGGAGAATATGGGATAAGGTCTGTTTCATACATGCACTACCCAAATTTATGCAAAGTCACTGATGTATATTCATGCTATGTTTTTTTTCTCAATCATCAAATGTATTTGAGGAAAGGCAAAATCAGCATATAATTCAGAAGCCAAATTTTCAAAAGAATGTTTTTTTGTAATAGAGCATTAATATTCAACATATATGATTTTAAAAGCCTGAAAAACTTCACTAATAGAGTTTTATATTAATCTATTTCATACAGGAAGAACTAAAATTGCAATATGCCTAATGCATTTGACTGCCCTCTAAAATCTCTTCTTATTTCTGAGTATGGACTCCCTATTATTTTGGTAGCAAATTAATCTGTTTCCGTAAGTGTTTATAGAGACAATCTATGATAGTTTAACATAGGTAATTATTTAAAGAACTATAGTAACTCTCATATCTTCAAAGTTTAGAATCAGAAAGGACTGCAGTGTTTATATCTCCTATTATTACTTTGGTTTTGGGTTTGTATTTTTGGTTTTGTATTTTCCAAGATTATTTGGGTGTACGTATGTGTGTGTAGGGATAAATACTTGCCCTAGAATAAATATCTTTTAAATGTTTGAAAACACAATAGGTAATATGTAATTGGAATGACAATATGTAATACAGAAAAAGTTCCAGAAATATATTGGTTTGCATACCAGGTGATTTAATTTTATTTCAGCAGAAATTTTGGAGAAGGTATAAGAACTGTAATAAATAGCAGTAGTGTAGAGTCTCTCACCCATGATGTTACACAGAAAAACAGTGATACATGTAAGTGCTGTTTGAGAGGAAATACTATTTCATTACGTCATTACATTCAGAACAAAAGTAGATTAAAATGAATTACAAAAATTATGAAGTGTAGTACAATAAATATTACTTTGTGAAACACATGTGATTCTTAAATGTGCTTGTAAGTTCAAAAAAGGTTGTCAAAGTCCCTAAAATCTTATCACAGAACATCACTATCTCTCAGTGACTGAGTATGGATTGCAAATGGCCAGAGATGCTCCACTCAGTGTCACTGTGGCACGTGCGCCTTTCTGCTCTCTGCAGTCAGTCGTTCGGGATGGTCCTCATGCTGGAGCATGAAGACGTAGCTGCACATTCCAGGCTCACAGCACCAACATTTATGTTTCCACCAACGTGGACTGTTCTTGCTGTTTCAGCACGCCAGCGAGTGACGTCCTTTCCAAATTGTCTTAAATACGAACACGGCATATGTTTCAGTTGATACACACTGTCTGATCAGTCGCACTCAAAATGATCTCAGTTTTCTTGGTAGGGCAGTGACTTTCACTATGTTAGAAAAGAGAAAAAGGAGAGAGCTCTGTTGCAAAAGGGAAGGTGATGATGAGAGTGGGGATAGGAAGCGGGAGGGAGGGGTGTGAAAGAGAATGAAAAAAGAATGGAGATGTGCTATGTACATGTACCAAATTCCCGCAGTGGATGTAATTGTCTTGTACTTGAAACATGTACTAATAAAAATAAATTAAAAAAATAAAATGCATGTTGGATAATATTCATTAAAAATAGAAAATTGTAAATTTCTGCTATTTGGATGGATCCCTTTAGTGTTTAAAGGAGTTGCATCAGAAGACTACTGAGCTTCCCCTAGTGAGGAAGCCCCCTGGAGGCGCGGGTCTGGGCAGACTGCACAGGACTGCCCGCAGTTGCTCTGTCAGTCTGCTCCTCCAGCCCTGCAGCTATTAATTCCTTGAATACATCTCTTCAGATTTAAATATACTCTGAAATTCTGGATGCACTTCCCAGTGTTTTAATTTGGTATTTGCTTGCAGTGTAGCTTGTAGCACTTGACAGTGGTAATAGATTAGGTAATTCTAAAATAGATGTCTTCTGCCTGAAATTGTTCAGATATGAGACCGCTACATGATTGTTATTATTATTCTTATTCAAATTCTCTTTATGATATTCTGGCACCACCTCATCATCAGTGTTAGTAACCTGTAAAACTTCTGAATCATCAGGTTCATTAGTTTTTTCATTTTTCTCCCTTTCAGCACTCTGCACAATCACATTATTGTTGTCATTAAGATCCATTCCACTTATTCTTTTATTCTTTGCATCTTCTGCTTCATTCAACTTATCTTGCACATTCGTATTTCCTACCTTCTTCTCATCTTTTTTGGCTTCATATATTCTCATGTCTTTGACTTTTGTAATATCCTCCTTCTGATACTTAGGGGCAGATAGCAGATATGGCTGTAGGAAAGAAATGTTTTCTGGTTCTTGATTTTCTAGTGTTTTAAAATGTTCTACCAGTGATTCAGTTTTAAATTCAGAGGAGAGAGGAGTTGTCATTTCAGGTGGCCATTTAGGCTTACTCATTTTGAGTTCATCTTCAAACGGAAAGATTTTCTTAGGAATTTCCCTGGAAGGAGGCCAAATTATTTTTAACTTTCTTCTTTCCCCCAACTTTCTCAGATCATCCCTTTGACACTCACTGTCACCAGCATCTAAATGTTTCATAAAATCTTCAGGTATAAGAGTGTTTGTTGTAGTGCTTTTACATATACATGGCTCTTCGTTGAGAATGATGTTCGCTGAACTGCTTTGATTTTTGCGGTTCCATTTATCTTTATTCTGTTTGTGTCCAAAACCTTCGTCATAATTTCCTTTAGACTTAAAAAGTTGTTTAAAGTGAGGTTTACAGTATATTTGTTTCTGAAGTGATACGTAATTTCCCAAACTGCCAAAAAGAAAAAAAAGAAGCACTTAGCATTTTGTATATTTACTGTAAATTCATAGAAAATTAAGGAATTATCTACTTTAGCAGTGGTTCAGACTCAATAAAGTTAACTTACTAGCAATGAGAACGACCATGTTAACTGAACAATTCTGTTAGCCATCACTAATACTTCTCATGATATGTCTCTTGAACTATTTATACTTTTATGATATGTGAGTTACTGGTATAATATATTGAAACATTCTACAACGCAAATGCAGTTATACAATGGTAGGATTACACCTGTGCTAATGATGATTTATGTGAAAGGTTTTACTTTTCAATAAATCTTGACTAACCCACACCCATGAATCAAATGTGTGAATTTTATGATCAGCTGGAGTGTGATTAATCAGAAAGTTTGTTTACGCTATTGTTTATCAAGCCTCAAGGAGGTCAACAAGCAGAATGCTTGACCAAATCACCTTTGTTAGAGGCAGTAGTGCAATTTTGAGTATCTCTGAATGTACACATGAAAACCAATACATCAGGTAGACAGCAGAACCTATGGGAAACACTTACAACAAAACCAAGTGACAAGATAGCCTGAATGGGCTAAGGACAAACTGCTATTAGGCAGGAGACCACTATGACAGTCTTGCAAGGGGAGTAAAATGTGCTTGATGGGACTGTAAATATGACTACAGCACAAGTCAATATTTCTTGGAAGTATCAGAACAAATCAGAGAATAGCTCCCAAATTTGGGAGGGTGTTTTATGCATCTTTCTGGTGCGCAGGTTGTGCAAATATCTCATGTCAAAAATGACTGAAGAGACTTGCAAGCTAAGCTCTCAAAACTGACCCACTAGGTATCATTCAGAGAAGGAAAAGTGAGAATGGGATGAAAACTGACAACAGTTACGAAAGAGAAGGTCTGGATCAAGACGAGAGAGTGGAAAAAAAGGCCATGAAATCCCAGAGGTCCACCCACATTCTTATTTTGAACAGTATTTGAAGAGGAATAGAAGTAAGTCTGAAATCAGAAAAGCCATTCTGAATGTCATCTCCTTTTGAAGACTGGGAAAACTAATTTCTTATAAAAATGAGTGACAAGTCTATTGAGGTAAAATCTTAAGCAAAATTTTGACAGAGTGAAAGAGTAAGGTGCATTGTCCCTGCAATTAATGAAAACATGCAGAAAACATGCTCTAAAACAGATAAAAAATTTAACCTTGGATTCCAAAATGAGCTAAAAGACATTAAGAATATGTTATGGCTTATTTCTAGTGTTCTCCCCAAAGATTCAAATGCTCATGGACATTTTTGAGGTGGCTGGATCTAGAGCGTGATATTGAGATTAAGTATGTGTAACATTGGATAAATCCACTAAATTTGTTTAGCATAGATCTGGATGTGGAGAATTGAAGCCCCTCCCTGGGTATGAGCAGTCTCACCCAAAAAGGGTTGTAGCCTAGGTAGGATAAAAGGGAAAGGGGGCTTGTTGCTTGTGGCTTGCTGCCTTCTGACTGCTATGCCATGAACTGTTTCTCCTTTGTGATGAGCCTTTGTAGTGCCAACCTGCCTTGGAGCCCACCAACCATGGAGTGCCTTGGAGCCCACTAACCTCTATAAAATATGAGCTGAAATATATCTTTCTTATTTTAACTTGTGGGTGCCAGGCATTTTGTCCCAGAAATGAGGAACTAAGACAGAATATGATAAAAATCTGAGAGAACAAAATGAACAAAAATTATGAAAATTCATAAATAACCTCAAAAAGCAGAAAATAGAAATCAGGAAAAAATGGAAACAATAACATTCTTAGCAATAAAGACTAAAAGAAGCACAAGATCAAATAAAAGTCATATGAAATTAAAGAGAAAAAAGAACACAAAAATGAAATTTTAAATGCTCAAAAAGAAACAAAGAGATGGGGGAAATTAAAAAGAAAGGCATTAAAGATAGATAAAAATAGCAGCTAGATCTAGGGCAGAAAATGCTGAAGATAGCTTGGAATGTCTAGTCCTACGAGATAACAAGGAAGTACTCCAAGATCAGAGCAGTCCTGTCAAAAGGACTCAGGAGAAAAAGGTACCCACTAACTAGGGAGAGAACAATTTAAGCTTCACTAATAATTATTGTATTTGATTGAGTCCAATCAAATAGCACTATTTTCTAAAAAAATAGTAACTTTCTTGGAATGATATAGAACAATTTTATTATATTACTGAATAAATAATCAGTATATTAATTGATAAAGGGAAAGAATTATGAATGTATTTTATCTTCCCTCCACCAAATGTACCATTGTGTAAATAAAGAATAGATGAGAGGAAGTCCTTCTTTGTGTCATAGGTTTTAAGTTGTAATATTTGCTGTGACCACAGAACAAGAGACAGTTAAACGTTATATCCTTACCATACTATTGCTAATACTACTTACATATTCTTGTGAAAAGAATAATAAATCTCTAGGTCTAGCTAACAGTTTGGGCAAACAGAAGACAAAGGAACATGACCTACACGGAGGGTGAATTGTTAATTCTAGCCTCAACACTCTGTAGGTCAGATCTCATGGCTCTTCATTGTTTGAAATAAAATTGAAATAAAAGAATGGAGGAGAAATATATGGATTTAGAAGGATTTTAAAGACATATTACATTTCAAGTCAAGGTAAAATATATGGTTTAGGAAAACATATTTGGAAAAGAAAACTATAAAAATGACAGAAAGTTATGACAGGAAACCATTTACTTATGGGAGAGAGGGAAGCCATTTGTAATTGGGATGGGGCTCATAATAGAGGGTTATAGAATGACTCCAAAGCTACATTGTCTTTACTTTGGTCGTAGGTACAAAGTGTTCATTTTATAATAATTAATTGAACCTTATATTTATTTAATTTGATTTTCTGTACCCGTGGTTTATATATATATATACAACAGTCCTTTTATTTTCTGTATCTGTGATTACATATAGAATAGTCCTAGAATCAATATTTTTGGGTCTTTATTGTATGTCTCCCTTTACTAGATGTTTGCAAGGCAAATATGAGCACAATGAATGTTAGGGACAATTACATTAGATTGTGTTAAGAGCAAGGCAAGCACAGGGAATGCTGTGGGAGAATATGAGGAGGATATTTTACACAATCCTGGGAGTCCAATTAAGCTTCATGGATGACATAGTCTCAGTTGAGGTCTGAGGAATGAGTGCAGATTAGCTGAAAAGATTTCTAGAGGAGGGTTATGGGAAACTCCTCCAAGGAGTGGGATAACACTTTGGACGGGCTATATATGAGAGAGAAAAATAATGATTTGGAGGATCTTGAAGAAATTCATGAAAGTAAAAGTAACATGAAAAGTAAAATGTAAAGAGGATAATATAGGGATAAATAGAGTGTTAGCAATAAGGGGTCAGAGCCTGAATTGCCTTTTTATTAGGGTTTCCATTTTAGATTTTCTTGGAAAGGAAAGCTATTATATATTTTAATTGGGGAAGTACCTCAGCTTTACATTTTAGAAAGATAACTTTACTACATTGTGGAGCAAAGCATTGAGACAGGTTTTTTATGGTGGAAAGAAGTGCTGAAGATAGGAGACAAACTACGCAGAAAGGCTGTTGCAGCCATCCAGGAGGGAGATGATAATTGCTTGAAAAATGGCTGTGCTATGGGGCTAGAGAAAAAAGCACAGTTCAGGAAGTATTTGAGAGGAATAAGTTACAGGGCTTGGTGATGGCTTGGATGTAGGGCATGAAGGAGAGGAAGAAGTCAAAAGCTAACTTCATGTATTAGTCACTTCTTCAATGTCAAGTACTTATACAGTGGCATATGGACTTACAGTCAAAAATGTCATTTTGGTGGAGAAAAAAAAAATGAACCATATTGAGTTGGCTGTACTTAGGGAAAATCTACTCAGAGAAATATTCTTATTATTGAGATTTGATGCACAGAGGAGAGATCTGGGCTAGGGGTAGAGATTTCAGAACCATTATTGCAGGGATAATAACTTAAGTCATAGAGGTGGATGGGATTTAAGAAAGAATAGAACAAGTAAGGGAAATACATTCCTATAACAGAATTCTAAAGAACTCCTAACACTGTATTGATGATTAGAAAAGGGTCACCTACACAGGTGCCTGAGAAGGAACATCTAGAAGGAAAGGAAAAAAACCCAGTATATTGAGTTGTCATGGGAACCAAGGAAAAAGAATGTTGCAACAAAGGATGTTTAGCATTGTCAGTTAAGGCCAGAAAAGTATATTCTGAGAAATGCACATTAGATTCAGCAACATAAATCCAATTTCAGTGTCTCAATCTATAGCCAAACAAAATGCTACATTATTTAAATGCATGTACTTCAAGAGTTTTGGAAAATGAGTGCATTGGTAATTGTGTCGATAGTGTGCTTCTATAGCTATAAGAGAATAAATAGAATTTGTTTCTCTGACTCATCCCTGATTGTGTTCTAAATTTCTTTTTAAGCTTGTATAGTCTAGCTCAAACACACATAAACTAAAACCTAACACCTGTTTTGGCATATGAAGTTTTGATCGGCACACTCATTTACAGGCAGCCCACTCATTTACAGCCACACTCATATGTTCAGGTATCTATGTAGCTCTTGTACTCCAGTGGAAACTGAGTTCTGATAGAAACAGCGTGACCTAGGCAATCCTTAATTCTGATATGTCAGTTTGACTGGACTAAGAAAGATCGAACAGATTGGTGAAGCACACTTCCAGGTATGCCTGGGTGGGATATGGAGGTGTGACTTTCCACGCTATGTATGAGTTCTGGCCCCTTATGCTATGGCATTGTGCCCCTAGTCTCTTCCCAGCCGCCATGAATTAAGCAGCTTTGTTCTACCACCACACCATTCCGCCTTGGAGTCAGGGACCACAGACTGAATTCTTTAGAACATGAGTCAAATTTATCTCTCCTTCTTTAAGTTGGAGGTGCTGTTATTGTGTCTCAGGAGTGAGAAAGCTGACTTCAAAGTGAGAAATGTTTACTACTTTGGCTCTTTATAGAAAAAGTTTACTGACTCCTGATCTAATGTAGATTTGGGACTACAGTACTAACTTAGAAATCCTGATTTGCATGGTGACTCTCGATTCTTCTTATCTGTGTGATTTTTATGTTTGAATCAAAGAACACCCTGCGGATTTGATTAGGAAAGCAAAATTCCAAAAGGAAAAGGTCATAGCAACTGATCCATACAAAACAGCATGAACATGTCCTGCTGTGTGGTTGTATTAACTAATAGCAGTAGCAACATCTGGAGAAACCTGTGTCTGCCTAGGGTCACAGTGCTGTGCACATACTTCAGGCCCTTTGAACATTTGTGCCACAGACCACAAAACATTTTACCTGAGTTTACTGTTGCAGTGGTTGCATCGGAAGCAGGACTTATGAAAACTCTGCTTGTCTGCTACTAGGCATTCCATTGGATAAACTGTCTTTTGACAAAGTGTACATGTTTCCTTGTCTTGGAGTAGCTGTTTCTAAAAATAAAAATTTAGAAAGCCTTATATTGTATTAGCTTCAATTACATTGTTAAAACACGACAAAAACCAGCAACAATGTTAACTGGCCATGCAGTTAAAGTGGAAAGCCCTATGTCTATTGTCTTTCTGTTGCTCTGCTGAATACAGCCTATATTATCATCAGGATTGAAGACCTGGTGAAACATTACCCTAATACCTCCACTATTTACACATTGTTCAAATTGACATTATTGCATCATATGTATATAAATAAAGATATCCATTCACTTTAATATGTTAAATATCAATAGTCAGCTCAGCCAGGGGCGGGGAACTGAGAAAATTTGTCATTCATTCTAGATAACTGAACTTTCCATATATAAAAGATTTTTAAAGCATCATGGCCACATTTTTTCTAAAGTAAAAACATTTTTTAAGCCAAGGACATCGTACAGTATTTATTTTCTTAACAACTTAGGGTTGATTCTCTGATATCAACTCTTTTGTGTAATATAATAAGATTTGAATACTATGAAATGTTCAGAAGCATTTTTTCTTAAGTGATTTTAGATTTTAGAGCTTTTTTGGGTCTCACATTTGTTTTCCATACTTTCCTTCCTTCTTTGAGTAGGTATAGTCACTTTCTGGTTTTCTTCTGAATGCAGTTAGTCCCTATAAATAATAGTGGTTATATTACTAACCAATGTTTGTATAGTGGTTCATATTGACAGGGAAGCTTCACTTATGCATTGGTCTTGCAATAACCCTGAATAGATAATTAAGCTTTCATATTATGCACATAGTCCTTTACACGATAAACCAAACCAAACAAAAAAAAATTTTAGAGCCCAAATTATTAATATTTTCCTTTTTGGGTTTTAGTGTGGACACATTTCTATATTCAACAGAAGTTTCTTTGTATTTTCTGGGTTACTCTGAACTATCTTGAAAGAAGCAGCATTTGAAATTAATTAGATAGCTTTGCTTAATTATGCCAGAAACAAGCACATTAAGAAGCCATATTAAACCAGTAAACTAGACACATATGTTGCAAATATGATACAGGCATAATTATTAGTTTCAGCAGTTTTATTTTTAAGCTTGCTCTTTTTTCAATCTGTCTAAAAGAATTGACTGCACTAATGATGCACATTAATTATGTCAAATCCTTTTATCACAAAGTCTCACTAATTATAAAAAGTAGGGAAGTCAACAAAATGAGTTGTTCTCTGATGCTAAAAAATATATACTAAATGCATAGAATTTAACCCTCCTTCCTTATAAGCATAATCATATTTTAAAATGTGTTGTTCTTTCCATCTCTGAAGGAGGTCAATGGAAGCTGCCATTTCTTTTTAGAAAGGTGGAAAAGTCAGTTGTAGAAGAAATATGGCATCAGAAAAATCTAATTCTAATAGTAACAATAATTAGATATATCAAAATTCTAACTCCTTATCTATACTTTTATCACATATACAGATCCATAAATTTTGTTGAAATACATTGAGGAATGTCAGCTATTTCTTGGACTGTTATAGGCTGTACTGAATTTAGTGTAGAAATTTCTTAACAATGCAGTTAAAAGGATATCAGTATTCACCTCAAAGGTGTTATCCAGTATCATCTAAAACAATTGTATGAAATAATAACTTTAATAGCCATTAACCATGTGTTATATTCTCTAATACATATATAATGATAAGATTATTAATACTTTCATAACAATTATATTTGCTGCCTCATCCAAAGCTTTGTTTACCTTGACAAATATAGGTTTCCATAAATGACATAAAAGTTTTTATTATCCTCACATAGTGCAAGTGGATCATGCTGTACTAAATGCTTTTGTGAAAAGCAAGTAGTAGAAAAGTCAGGCATAGTAAAAAAAAAAAAAAAAGGTACAGGCACACAGGGGAAGCTGTTAGTTTTAGGTTATATTATTTGGTTATTTCCACGGCAAATCATGTTGGATTTGGGACATGCTTTTAAATGAGTTAATCTTCCTTCACAGTTTTCAAGCTCATTTACCACTTATAAATGCAGATTCCTCCTCAAAGGTGCTTCTCATCTCAGTTGCAGCAGCATCTGAGGTTGTATATCCTAGGCTTTTAAAAACTCTTTCACTCCCTTCCCATGTCTTTTGAAAATTCTTTCTAAGTTCTTTAGGTGAATCAGAGATATCTAAAATATGGCCAGAAATGACATCTTCATAGGTTGGTGGGGCATGCTTGAAGTCCAAGCCAGATTTGCCAACCTCTGAGCTGTGTGCTGATGAGGTTGTTACCTTTGATCCAACAGCTTGATTCTCAAAGGCATCCATGCTCGAGAAATGTTCAGTTAGAGACCTTGTTTCAGAGTGTACTCTGGGATGTTGAGCAGAATTTTGTTCTTGGAGCTCTCTAGGGTTTTTGTGAAAAAAACCTGTAAAATTAGTGTTTTCTAATGATGTTGATCCAAATTCCTCCTTACAGAACATATGGCTTTCCTGCTTTACGTTATGGTTTACATCTCCATTTTCATAGACTCTTTGTGATTTGGCTTCAAAAACTGGGCCATCCTCAAATTCCCTGAACCATTTGTTTATATCATTTTTGTGGTCACTCATGAAATTTTCAGCCATTTGAGCAGTTCGATTGGCTGCTTCATATCTCTGGGGTCGTTCCGAGAGGCGAGGCACTTCTACTTTGCGGATGATTTCAACTGCGTCATAACTTTCAATATCAGGCATTATGCCATTAATGGAATTCATTCCATCTTTATGAACATATGTTGCCCTTTTCTCTACTTTCCTAACTTCCTCCAGAGCTTGCATGGATTCTCTGTAGGAACTATTGCTGATGTGATTTATATCTACAGGTATTGTGATAGTAGGTGAAGAGTCTCTACCACGACTTTCTATCTTAATTTGACGACGAAGCGATGCCGGAGACAGAACAATCTCAGACCTCTTCTCTACAATTGGAACTGGGGTTACTGGTGTACGAGGGATGGTCCCTCTGGATAACTTTGCCGTGGTGTCTTTGAGTTTGACAAGTTGTTCAGAGCGGCTCCTAGGTGGAGAAGGGGAAGTGTTTTCTTTGTGAATTCCAGATGTATGTGGTAGAGGTCTTCTTGGTGGGGTTTCCACACAACTGTCCTCTATAGGGAGCTGAGAAAGCTCATCTTTAGAAGAGGTTTCTGTTCGCCTGGCAGAAGACTCAATTGTTATAAAAGTAGGAGATGGTGGTCGATTTTTTAAAGAGGGAGTACTCTTGCTACCATCTACATTAATTTCTTGGTGGGTTTTTACATAATTAGGAGCAGTTGCTCCCTTCTGAGTTGCTTCTTGGTGGTGCACTATTTTTTGTTTTACAACGTTATTTTCTTTCTGTTCCATGTTTTTACTACAGCTTGCATTAGTACTAGAAACTTTCAGTGATGTTTCATTAAGGGTGATAAGCTTATTTCCCTGCCTTCCTGTTTGAGAGGCTACCATGGCTGTTTGAATTATATTTTCACAGTACCCAAGCATATCCTCTGCTTGAGTTTTAATATGTTTTATTTCTTCTTTGACTTTTTCTAAATTATTCTCTGTGGCAATGCGAACCCCATATTCTCTTTTTTCTTCACTTATCAGCCATCTAGGAATAATATTTAGCAGTGTCTGAAACGTTTTAAGGCCATTTTTATTTGGCTCTGCTTCAAACTGTTTTACTCGAGACAAAATCTGTTGTAGTTCTTCACGTTTTCTCAAGAACTCCAATATATTTACAGCACATTTTCCATCATCCTGCTGAGATTCTTTCACAGAGGAAAATGAAGATTTGTTCTGTGAAATCGCTTGCCTTGAATCTTCAGGATTAGAAAAGCCTTGTTTCTGTTGTGTGCCCTTGTCTCTGAGACATTTCTTTTGCTGCAGACTATTATATGGCTGGGACAATTTTTTATGTTGAGATGCACTTTTTGAAGTCTGTATGTGTGTTTGTTGGAAATTCTGAGTCTGTGAATCCAGATGTACATCAATAACCTTTGGCTTGACTACCTTTGGTGCTGACTTATTCTTCAAATATGCTTGTTTTCCTTCAACTATTAATCTGTCCTCTTTACTACTGATAATCGATGCTCCCTGACTTTTTCCTTCACTCCCTAGAAGTTTCTCTCTGTCAGATTCTCTACATTCTCTTTGCTTCTCAGGAACTATCTTGAATTTATTTTCAGAGCTCTTCTCTGCAGACCCCATAGGCATTTGTACTGACACTGTTTTCTCCTTCTTAGGTAACTGATAACAATGTTCAGCCACAGATTGCTTAGTATTATGTTCTGCATTTGCTTCAGCTTTCTCAGTTTCTTGATACTGCTGTTTGGCAATGGTTTGAACATCAACTGCAGCTTGTTTCACATGACTTTCATAGGTGTGGTCTGTTTTATTCAATGTCTGATCTAGAGTTGGAAGCTTGATGGTTTTAACCTTGAAACTTGGGGAAGCTGGTTTGCTTTGATGCAAGTTCAACTGCTCCATATACTTCTGTTGTGTGTGGTGTGTGCTATATTCTTGGTGACTCTGGTTAATTTCCAAAGCTGATTTAGACTGTTTAATATTCCTTGAACTCTGTAAAACTTCCTTTTTCATGTTGCTTTTGTCTTCTGAGGCTGCTACAACATGCTGGTGTCTATTGGTGGTAGCTGTCACTGCTGATGCTGTGGATAGCTCATAGTCAGAGCATACTCCTGAAACTCGAGCATTGCTTGGGGCGTCTGGGTTGGGTTGGCCCACAGTGAATTCTGAATCTGTTCTGGGTGCGGGTGTTTCTGCATTTGTTTTTTCTAACAGCACTTCCTTTTCCAACTCTGACAACTTTTGATTTGTGCATTCCATTTTGACAACGTTGCAGCAAAAACTTTCCTTTCTCTGTTTTTCAAGCTCTTCCTTTTGTTGTCTATATTTTTCTTCAGCAATCATTAAAGGTGTCTTAAATTTTCTCATGTAAGGTTTTTGACTTTGTTGACTGGAACTTTCTGGAAGTGAGTGAGATTTCATGAGAGGTACTTTCTGTTCTCCTTTGAGTGCCGATGTTTCTGGAATTCTCTGTGAGAAAGGCTTGGTAGAATCAACAGATAATTGTGTTCTTTCATCAAGATGATTTCTCAGTACATCCTGCTTTGTGTCTGCATGCTCCCTGTTAGTTGTCACCATTGTTCTTTCATGATGCTTTAAGGCAGGATTTGTATATTGCATATTTGATAGAGAGCTTCCCAATTCACCTTCAGGAGAAAGTTGATTCTTTTTATCTTTGATTAGCTTGGGAAGTTTAGGCTTGGGCAATGTGGGAGGTGGTGACTTTCCCTTTATGACTTTAGCATGAGAATAAGTTTTCTGAGAGCTTGCTGCTTCTTTTTGGGAATATTGTTGGATGAATGCTTCACTGTGTTTTTCTGGAACAGAGAAGGAAAGATGTGCTGAGTTTTGAGATGGAGTTGGAGGAGGTGGAGGTGGCAGTAACTCAGGTGGACGTTCTCCTTCAGATTTCTCATCTACTGGTGGTGGAGGAAGAGGGAGGCCTGGGAAGCTTTTGAATTCAGCCCTTATCTTCTCTGTGGATGGTGGAGGAGGAAACTCATGTTTTTCAGGCAACAGGTTTAAAGGAGGTGGAGGAGGAAGAGGAAATTCAATTTCAGATGATGCATTGGAAGCTGGAGGAGGAGGTGGGGACGGAGGTGGAAGGGAGCCTTCACTTTCTCTCCCATTATTCTCAGGGTTAAGATTGATCAGATTAAAGGAGCTTTCCATTGCCATTTTTAAGTCTTTAGAAGTATTTGTCTTCATTAGAAAGTCCTGGCTTTCCAGATAAACATCAGTTTTCTGCTTTTTGTCAATTGCTTTGAATTTATTGTGACTTCTTTCAGAGACTTTCTCTTCTGTTACACTGGATATGTTTTGATCTATAGGAAAAGGATGAAAATTCATGTCATCTTTCTCCACACCCTTATTAGGATATTGCCTTTCTTGCTTTAGCATAGTTTGCTTCTGAATACCTTTTGTAACTTCATATGCTTCTCCAACTTGCATATTAACTGGATGCTGGGAGGGACTCGGTGTGGGGCTTTGCATCTCTGTTGATGTTTTAATGTTTTTGGTCTTTTGAGAACTTTTTATATGGAAAGTCTCAGTCTTCTGGTAGTCATTTCTTGGTTCACAGGTTTGAAACTGATGCTTTCCAAGTGTTTTATCAATGGATTGGGTGGATTTTAAAATATCTTCCTTCTTTAGCTGTCTCACTGCCTCTGATTCCTTTGTTGTTAGATTTTCCTTCGTTGACACCATTGAAGTTAATTGCCTGTTCATGTGTTCACCTCTAAACTGCTGTTCTTTGGTGGTATCCTTCCAGACACCCATTCTGTCACCTGTTTCCAACACATTTCTCATACCTTCACGGTATGAATTAGAAAGTTTTCTCAGGTTTTTCTCAAGAGCATCATTATTTTGTTCACGATCTACAACAATCTTTACAGTGCCTTTGGGGGCTTTGGGAAGATTAAGGTCCATTCTTTCTCCTGTGGAAGTCCCATAACAAGATGTACCTTCAGCTTCACTGACAGTGTCTTGGCCAAGTGGTCCTGGCCGTGGCCGAAGAACACTTTCTTGGTCTCTCTGGATGGCCACCTGATGAATCTTTGTTTTCCGCTCTTCTGAAGATCCTGCTGCTTCAGCATGGACGTCTTTTTTAATTATGCTTTCTTTATCTACCTCTATGAAACCCCTTTGTACTTCTTTCAAAGCCCTTAATGATATTTCAAGGTCATCGCGGATAAGCTCCTTTTTAAGTATTTCAGTCCTTGTATTTGTAGCCTTTTCAAGGCATTCAATTGCTTTCTCAACATCACCAGGGGTAGCATCAGGCTGTTTAGATTCTTCCCATCGTTGCTTTGACTCCTTAAGTGACTTGAGGGTAGCAAGCATGTCACCTTTTGTTTCTTCTGCTTTAGTCACTGTTTTCTGACTTATGGCTTGGCTAAGGGAAGTTAGGGTTGATTTCAAGTCCCCTTTTATAATGTCTTCTTTGTTTGTCTTATAAGATGTACTGGGAGGCTCTGTCATAAAAACTTTAACTGTGTTACGCACATCTCCCGGGATGATGTTAGTTTCATTAACAGTACGTTCGACCTGAGACTGTCTTTTCTTCAGCAACCATTTTGTGCGCTCAACATCAACACCAATTATTTCTTCCTCTCTTTCTTGCTTCCCAGTTGCTAGTGTTTCATGTGGCTCTGTCTGAAGTTGTTTGAGGTAATCTAATGCTCCAGTTTCTATACATGTTGTGAAAAATTGAACATTTCCTCTCTCAGAGGCATCGATTTTAGCCCTCTCAGATACTGCACTGTTTGATGAGGAAGACAGCAGATTATGAATGGTGTGCCGTACATCACCTCCTATTACTTCCTCATGCTTAATTGTATCACCAGTATTTTCATGTAGAAGACAGTAGATGGTCATGTTAATGTCTCCTCTTTCATCTTCCTGGATTAAAATGCCTTTCTTTGCAGGTCTCTCCTCTGAGAAGAGTTTTTTTATTGCTTGCTGCACGTCACCTTTTACTATCTCTTCCTTTTCAGCCTGAACTTCAGTTGCTCTGTTTAGCAGTTGAGCTTTAGTTAAGTTAACATTTCCCTTTTCTTCTTCACTAATCACAATCTCTTTTTTGGTGCAGTCTTTTTTGGAAAGTAAGTTCATCATTATATTCCCAAGGTCAGCCCTGATCACTTCTTCTTTCTGTATCTCAGGAGATGCCTGGTGCATTAGCTTATATTTAGCCATTCGGACATCCCCAACCTCATCCGTTTCAATGATAATTCCAGGAGCCTCAATCACTTTTTGAGAGTAAAGCTCTTTCAAGGTTTCTTTAATGCTCTTCCCGATAACTTCTACCTTTTCAACTCTGTTTTCATTGAATTCATGAATAGGTGTTGTTTCAAAGAGCCATGTGGTAGTCCTGACATCGGAAGCTGGGATTTCTTCCTTGGTCATTTTGGTGATGCTTTCTTCTGCATCTTTAATTGAATCCAAAGTTTGGTTTTCAAATAGCCACACTGCCTGCTTAACATCCCCCTTTTGCACATCTTCCTGGGTAACTGTCTTGATACATCTGTATTCAGACCCTTCCCCTCTCAGCTCTTCTAGAGTGTGAGTTTCAAATAGCCACGTGGATGTTTTAACATTGCCTTTTTGTATTTCATTGACACACACGGTTCTTACATAATTCTTCCCCAAATTTTCAGCCTCAAAAAGTTGTTTGCTTGTCTTCACATTGCCACCTTGAATGTGGTTAACCGTGGGCACAATTTTATGTGATTCTTCTGAGATTTGATCTAGTGGCTGGGTTTCAAATCTGTATCTGACAGAACTAACATCCCCCTTCTGAATGTCTTCTTGTGTAACAGATTTAATAACGTACACGGTTTGTGATTCGTTAATTGAATCTAGTGGTTTTGTTTCAAAAAGCCATCTTGTTCCTCGTACATCTCCATGAAGTACCTCTTCTTTTTTAACTGTTGTTACTTCATGAAAATATCCCTCTTGATCTTGAATTGCATAGAGTGGCTGGGTTTCAAAGAGCATTCTGTAGCTTTTGACATCACCCTTTACTACTTCTTCTGTATTTGTTTTCTTGGTGGTGATACAGTCACACTCTTCTTTAATCTCATCTAAAGAAAAAGTCTCAAAGATAAAGCACCTCTTTCGCACATCCCCACCTCGTATGTCTGTCACTGTCTTTACTAATCCATCACTTTCTTGGCTTTCTTTTATCGTATCAATTGGATGGTTTTCAAAGAGCCACCTACAATGTAAGACATCGCCTTTCTGAATATCTTCGGCTTTTAGCGTCTTGATCTTTTTCAAAACTTCCTCTGAACTAGAACTTATAGAATCTAAGGACTGACTTTCAAATTTATATCTCATGCTGGAGACATCCCCGGCTTGGATATCCATCTCCACGGTTTTGCTTTCCTTTCCTTCCTTGCCTTGTATGCTGTCCAAATTTTCTGTCTCAAAAAGAAGACAAGCTGTGCGAACATCCCCACCTTGGATTTCATCTTGTTTCACAGTCTGCAAAGTGAATGTTGTTTCAGAGTCATCTTTTATGGTATCAAGCGGCTGAGTCTCAAAGAGCCAGGTACATGTTTTGACATCTCCCTTACGAATTTCTTCACTTTCAGTCATTAATGAAACCTTTTCATAAAGAGACTCCATTGGCTGGGTTTCAAACAGCCATTTACAGGTTTTGACATCCCCTTTCACAGTATCTGTCACTTGTTCAGCTTTATTTTCTATTTCTTCCACATTACTAAAATATTTAATTGAATCAAGAGGTTGGGTTTCAAACAACCATTTAGCAGATTTCACATTTCCACTCTGTATTTCTTGAGCAGATATTCCTCTAATGATCTGAAATTTAAGAAGGCTTTCATCAAACTGGTCAATGGGCCTTGTTTCAAAAAGCCATCTACAGCTCCTCACATCACCTCTTAGGATTTCTTCTTGCTGGACTGTCTTTACTTGGTGGTACTTTCCAAGGTGATCTTGAATGGCATACAGAGGCATAGCCTCAAAGAGAGATTTATTTAACTCCACTGCACCTCTTGTGACTCCTTCCACTTCTATTTTATGTGATGCATCAAATTTAATTAAGTTGTTTGATTCAAAGATGTGTGTATAATTCCTGACATCTCCCCTGTCAACTTCTTCAAGTTTTACAGTCCGTGTGTATTCTTTTTTATCTTCTCTAATCTCTTCCAAGGGTTGGGTTTCAAAAACCCATTTGTGGTGCCTAACGTCCCCTTTTTCTTCTTCAGAGGTGGTGATTTTTTGAAGCTTTCCTACATCAGGACTGTCTTTTAAGGCCTCTATTGGAAGTGTTTCAAATAGGTGCTTGGTGGTTTGCACATCACCCCCTATTATCTCTTCTGCTAATACAGGATTTGCCTCAGAGGTTTCCTTTAGAATGTCTAATGGCTGTGTTTCAAACATCCAACACTTTTTGGAGACATCTGTGCCTATTATTGCTTCTTTTTGAACAACCACCTCTTCTAACTCTTCTTTGATTTTTTCCAAAGGTTGAGTTTCAAATAACCACTTTGCTCTACTCACCCCTCCTTTCACATTTTCTTCCATGGATATTCCTCGGACAACTTTAACTTCTGTGATATCTTTGTTAATTGTGTCTAAGGGCTGCGTTTCAAACAGCCAGCGTGCTCTTCTTACATCTCCCTTTTCAATATCTTCTCTGTGAACAGTTTTGATTTCTAGCACTTGACCTAAACCATCTCTGATAACATATAATGGCTGGGTTTCAAAACATTTTATACTTCTCTTAACATTTCCCTTAATTTCTTTAAGTTCAGACCTGAGTTGCAGTAAGTTAACCTCATCTACTGAGTGAAGTTGTCCCAGTTGATCCAGATGTTGAGTCTCAAACATATATCTCACAGTCTTGACATCTCCCCCAGTTATGTCCCTAGTAGTAAATGCTGATTCTTCTTCATTTTGGTGCATTTTATTCATAGAGTCTAATGGCCTTGTTTCAAACATCAACCTGGCTGTGGAAACATCTCCTCTGGCCAGCTCAGGAATTTTGTCGACGTTTACTCTATTTTCAGAAGAACAAAACCCCAGTGTATCTATGGGTTGAGTCTCAAACATCCATGTTGTATACTTTACATCACCACCAGCAATGATTTCTTGATCGGCAATGCCCTTGGCATTGCTACTTTCATCTGGAGAACCACTGTTGATGGAATCTAAAGGCTGATTCTCAAAGATCCATCTCATAGACTGTACCTCCCCTTTCAGAATTTCATCCCATTCCAAGTATTCTCTTTCAGAGTTCAGATCTTTTTGAGAACTATCATTTGTATTTTCAAAAACATATCGAGCATGTTGCACATCTGCTGAAACTGAGCTCCCTGTGCTCTTTTGACTGGAAACAATCTCAGAAACCTCACTGATATAATCTTTTTCTAAGTTTTTTCTTAAATCAGGATGGATATGTTTATATAAACGATTTAATTCATATAAATTTCTTTGCTTGGAATAGACTTCTTTGGGGACTGGTAGTTTTCTAGGAGGGTTGGGTAGTTCAGGGGACTGGGAAAATGCTGTCACATCTACTGGAGTCTGAAGTAGGTCGGGTGGGGGAGGAGGAAATTTTTCTGTCTCTCCTGGAGCAGTGGCTTTAACTTGTGCCAGAGTTGAGCAAGTGGCATTTAAACCACTATATCTTGAGCTTGATGTTTCCTTTCTCTGGCTGGTTGAAGCGTAAGAAGAGGAAGAGGTACCCACAACTGATGTTGGCTTTATAATTTCTTCATATTCATTTTTAATCTTTAGAGGAGAAAAGAAGCTTATGAAGATTAATGTAGTGGTGAAGGTTTCCAAAGAACTGCCCTTTACCTGTCCATAATCAGGACTGTACTGTGACAACTTCATTGGGAAAACAGGTAAAATACTCCACTTAAAGACCTACTTAAGAGTAGTATTCAGTATTTGTTACTATCTTTCCCATGATCTATTTTTACTATAAGTAAGTTATATTACAAGTTCAATGTATCTGTAACTCTTAATTTTAATATCTGTACATATCTTACCTTTACTCCCTTTACTTAATGTGCCCTGCTGAGTAATCTACAACGAAATAGTGAAAATTTGGAAGAACTTTTGAGGGTTGTTTTATTTTCTTGGGAATTTTAAACAGAATAGAGTAAGCATCTGACATTTCAATTTGACTTTGTTACTTTACCTACTGTTAGTTATATACTATAGAGCATGAACCCTTTTTTCTTCCCTCATTTACTCCAGTGAGAAAAGCTTTATATTAACTTTTTTCTCACATAGGTCAAAATTGATGCTCTAAAACAGAATACAAGATAGTTCAGGATTTTTTTTATTGCTGTTATTGCTGAAAAAAACACATCAGATGTTTATTGACTGAAAAAGTTTCCACACTTAAGTGTGATTTTACATTTAATCCATTTCTGTGTAGAGAAATTACATTACCTTAATCTGCTTAGCTGGGTTTGTTGTCTCTTTGTCAGAGTAGAGGACCTTTTCCTGGGCAGATTTTTCAAATTGCTCTTTTAAAGTCTTAGTTGAAACTTTAGGAATCTCTTCATCATCAGGTGTGTCAATGACTACAAACAGAACACCAGCGATATTACATAATGAATAAAAATTAAGCTTCAGTTGAATTATGATGCTATGGAAAACTTCCCACAATGCATATGAAAAGATTCATGGGACAAATTTATGCCTATGGCATTATTTCATTGTGTAATTTAGGAATACATCAAGAACTATGGGAAAAAACTGTGGATGCTTCTCTCCAGATGGGAATATTTTCCAAATTTTCTATAAGCACATTCTATTTCTATGCTTAGGCAAAAATAATAAAAGTTATAAAACAAAAAATAAAAGAATAAAAGAAAGCCTACTTTCTTAAACAATGAAGAACAAAATAAAGACATATTTATGGCACTCAAGCAATGTTTTGGTTAGAGATGGATTAAATCTTTAGGGCAGCAAAGATTTTTTTCCTTTGTATAAGCAAGATAGCTGTGCTTTGTCTTATGAAAATGTATCAATCTTCTTATAGTCTAATCTATCTCATGTTAGAGAACCAGAAACTAGCATATCTGTTATTAAATTAATATAATCTAGGTAATTCTGTGCTCAGAGAGCTTAATAAGTATTAAACTTTGTTTTAACTTCCTGAGGCAAATAAAAAAAAAAAATCCAGAAGTGACTCCTTGCCATTTTGGGGGCTTTAGGATGAACACACGACAGGTTAATGGGCAATGGCTATTTCAGAAAGGCACAGCATCTAATCACTACTGGCAAAATCTACTTATATGTAGAAACACTAGCCTTCCTCATTTAAGACTGTGAGTCAGAGTTACTGAAGTCACCCCTTGGGGGAAGACTCGACTTTAGAAGTTCTCCATTCAAGTGCAGGGACACTGTGAGGGAAAAGATATTGTGAACAATAATACAAGATTCTTACCTGTTTCTTGAACATATTGACTGAACTGAGAATTTTGGCTTATTTCCTCAGTGTGTTTTTCAAGATGAGAGACCTGCGTTGAATGAAAATTTAAATAATTGTGTTCAAGAAGTCAGTGATTTGAGCACTGCAAATAACAGTCTTCATTGTACAGTGATTTACATCTAACACACGGAGAGATGCTAATGTAGCTTCTATCATTTATTTTAATGTAGGAACTTGTTATAGTAGAACATATTTGAATATACACCTGAAATGTCATATTTTTGAGTGCCTATTGCATTGTTTTAAAAATTTGATTTAAAAGAAAAGAAACACTTGTATATATTGACACTACATACATAAAAGACAGTAACATCAAATGGTTACAGTAAAGTTAGAATGTCTACTCATTTCTGAAAACTACTTGGAAAGTATTGTGCTTCTAAGTAGTTACCATTTCTGTTTCAAGAACGTTGATCCCATTTGCTTTGGAGACTTCTTCATTTCTTCTCATTCCCTGACTGCTTTGGATCACCTCCTGAAAATAAGCAAGCAAACAAATAAACAGATAAACAGTACCTTAAGTTTGAAAATTTCAACTGGTTTATTCATTTCAGTGACAAAAACTTCTGGGGAAAAAAAGCTTCCTCAGTTTGCTGGGTTGCCATGACAAAAGACTCCTAATTTAGTTGCTTGAAACTGCATAATCTTATTTTACACTTCCGTAGTTCAGTAACCCCAAATGGCTGCCCTTGAGTGCTGATTGGTGTCAGAAGGCTACGTGTTTTATTCTGAGGATCTTAGGGAGAACCCATTCCCTTGGCTTTGGTAACCCTTGGCTGCTCCCCTTCCTAGACTCCTGGCCCCCTCATTTTCAGACTGAGATATTGTCCCACTGTCATTTGTCTGATTCCCTCTTCCATTTGAAGAACCTTTGTGATTACACTGGAGCAACTCAGACAATCCAGGATTATATCCCAGCCATAAAATCAGTTGATGAGCCACTTTATTCCACCTGCAATATTAATTTTTCTTTGTAAGATAATTTAACATATTCATAAATTCTGGGGATTAGGTCATAGATAATTTGGAGGTCATTATTCTTCCTACCCTCAGTAAGCACTAAATGTTACTAATGCACTTGGTACTTACTATGAGAAAGATAACCCTCAAAAAGAACATGTAAATTCTTAGAAGGCAGCTATGCTCACCACAATAGCACTAATGCAGAGTGTGTAAATTCTTAAGCATAAAGAAACATTTTTCATAAGCATCATTTTAATATTTCAGAAAGTATTCTGTTCTTCCAATTGGCCATCCAATATTATGACATATCCAGAGCTGAATTAAATATATAACACTAAGCTAGGTATAGTGGTGCTTTTCTATAATCTTAGCACTCTAGGAGTTTGAGGCAGCACTGCAAGTTAGAGCATAGCTGTCATGGTTTGTGTCTACATGTCCCCCAAAAGGCCTCATGGAGTCATGGGGCAGTCTTCTGGAGTTTTTGATTGACTCATGGTCCAATGCTGTGATTATGGGGGTGAGTGCTACACCTGCCCTGGGGCAGGCAACCTGCCTACACTATCAGGGAGGGAAAGAAGTTGCTCTCTGCAGCTGTTGCTGTTTTCTGCAGTCATGAGCTGTTGTCCTCTGCCATGTACCACACTGCCTTGGAACCAGCTGGTTATGGACTGAAACCTCCACAGACTGTGAGGTAAATAAACCTTTCCTTCCTTAATTTTGGGCACCAGGTATTTTGCTTCAGCAATAAGAGAAAAGTTACCAAGACAGTATTTGGTACTAGAGACATGGGGTCATTGCTGTGACTGTACCTGACCACGTCGTTCAAGAGCCTTTGGAAATGGCTTGTGGGAAGAGACTGGAAAGGTCTGGAGATGTCAGCTGAAAGAGAAGTGCTAGAATGCCTTTGGATGCTCTGTATGGAGATTCTGGTCAGAGCTCAGAAGAGCAGAAGGCTGATAGAAATTCTGCCTGTAAAGACCGGGTTTGGGAGGTTTCTGCTGGGAAGGACTGCATTGGTTGTTGGACTCCAGATGATGTGTATTACAGTGTGGCACAAAGTTTGTCTGCATTTTGCTTGCATCCAGAGACTTTGTCTGAGCCTGAGATTAAGAGTGGCAGACTGATTAATCTGGCAAAAGAAATTTCGAGGCATTGGAATGTTGTGGCAGTGGCATGGCTATTGTTGGGGCTTTTAGCCAGATTTATGTTGAGAATCAAAAGCAAAGAATCCAGTAGGATGATTTAAAATGTGAGTTTGGCCAGAAGGGCCAATCCAGTAAACCTGAAGACTATAAAAATAGAGCAGAGAGGGTCTTGATTTCTGAGAAGGAACAAGAGAATTGAAAAGATTGCCTCAGGGCATCAAAAGAAGGAGCAAGTCTCCATCCTTTGCAGCCTCAAAACTGCAAAGGTGAAAGACTTTTCTTTGAGAAGAAAGCCACAGAGCACCACACTCCAGAATGGCAGCGGTGGTGCCACCAGTCCCCAGATGGTGGCCACATAGAGAATTTGTTCCTCTGAAGTGGATTCAGAGCGCTCAGCTATCCAGGCACTCAACTCCTACATCTGAGAGTGGAGAAAGCCTGGTTACTGCTCCAACTCGCAGCAGACCTAGGCATCATCCACATGGCCCTGGTTGTAGGTGCACGGAAAATGCAAGAATTTTGAGGTTAAAAAGGCTACCACTCAGATTTTAGTACAAGGCCTGGGAAGCCAGGCATTGTACCCCCAAGAGGGCAGTATATGAAGCTGTGAGTGTGAAGAAAGAGGTGCAACGGAGACCCCAGAAGTTTGCAAAATCCAGGAATGTGGATCCTCTGAGGAAAGCTGCAAAGAGGAAGCAAAGTGGGCCTAAAAGAGAAGCCCTGGGAGCTGTAGCCACCAGAAGTGTCATAGGGGTGGAGTCACACAAGCCCTTTGGAGTTCACAATTTATCACAGATTGCTTTGGATGTTCCACATGAAACTACAGGACTTAATATTTGCCTTGCTGGAATTTAGACTTGCTTTGGTCCCAATGCTATGTATCCCCCTGTTTGTACCTTTTGCAGTGGTAATGTTTATCTTGTGCCATTGAATGTTAGAAGTGTTTAACTGTTCATTTGTACAGGGGCTCACAGCTAAGAGTTTGCCTTACATCTTGGAGGAGACTTGGGACTTGGACTTTTTAACAGTGCTGAAACTGTGGACTTTGGCCACTCTTAGAGATGGATTAAAATGCCTTTTGCATAAAGGGTTGTGCATGAGTCTTTTGGGGGCTAGGGGTGGAATGTTATGGTTTGATTCTAGATGTCACCCAAAAGCCTCATGCAGTCATGGCACAGGCTTCTAGAGTTTTTGATTGATTCATGGTCCAGTGCTGGGTTTATGGGTGTGAGTGCTACACCTGCCCTGGGCCAGGCAACCTGCAACAGTGAAAGGGAGGGAAAGAGGCTTGCTCTCTTTGCTCCTCTCTTTCCGCTCCTTGCTGCTTTTGCTGTTTTTCTATAGTCATGAAGTGTTGCCCTCTGTCATGTGCTACCCAGCCTTGGAGCCAGCTGATTATGGACTGAAACATCCACAAACTGTGAGCTAAAAAAACCTCTCCTTCCTTAATTTTGAGCATCAGGTATTTTGTTTCAGCAATGAGAGAAAAGTAAGCAAGACAACAGCCTAGGCCCTTTAGGAACTTAGTGAGATGATATTCAACAGACAACAAAAACAACAGCAAAAACAGGCTGAGAGTGTAGCTCAGCTATAGAGCACTACTTACTGAATGAGAACCTAGGTTCCATCCCCTGTACTGGAAAAATTTTTTAAAATATTAAAAGGCTGTGCACATAGCTTAGTAAAAATACCTTGGGTTTAATCTCTGGTATACCACACACATGCACTAAAAATAACCAATTGCAAACTCTAAGTAGCATTGCTTCTTGGCCTTTTGGCTAAGATCATATGTAATATAAAATGTAAATAAGCCATAGTAAATGTATCCCATTTTAAATGGACCATGTCAGGATAGTGTTATCCCCTTATCTTCATATATAGGATGTGCTGGTTAATCTTGATTGTCAATTTGATTGGATAAAAGGACTCCCGGGCAAGTGAGTGTATTCTGGTTGGATTGTGAGAGTCAACCCATTTATAAGTTGACAAATGAATAGGCTTTTAAGAGGTAGGGCCAGGACAGAATATGAGGTCATGGAGGTATAGTCTTGACTTATATGGTTCCTGAGACCTCCTTGGGCATACTTCCATTTCCGTTGCTCTTTGCTTCCTGTGTGCCATGAAGTGAGCACTTTCCTCTGTTATGCTGTTCACCATGATGTGTCAGCCCTGGAGCCAGCTGCCGTGGACTGACAGATCATGAGCTGACCAAATACATGGGGTTACTTTTGTTAAATTAGACAAATGACCCTACAAAATTGGAAAGTTGAGGGCCCTGACAATTTTGTTTATCCAGCCCCTTTCTCTACAGAATATAATTCTGATATAAATTTGAGATAGATTGATATGTCCAAGCAATTGATAAACTGCTAAATGTGTTATCAAAAATAAGCATAAGCAGTTATCTCTTTATAAGAACACCTGTGAAGTTGGAACTACACTTTTACCTTTATATCTATATAACTAATAAAAAGTAGTTTTGAAATCTAATTTTAAAACATGTGTTAGTAAAGAATAATCAAGTGAGAATGGCACATCATGACAATTAAATAAAATTATGAATGTCTTTTTTGCAATGTGTTAAATACTTTTAAACTATTAATTCTTAATGAAACCTAGAATAAGTATAATTTGTGAGAACTTGACTTGTCAGTGACAAATCTTTCCAACAGAAGAAATATAATGAGGATATTCCATAACTTTCTTATGTAGCTACTGAGAAATAGGGAATACCTATTGAACTGACAGTGGTATTTATTAAGAGGTATCATGATGACCTCTACTGACTCATATCTGGCCTGGAAACCTACATGCTACTGATGGCTGTGGCCAATTGAAATATTTTATTTGACCCACACAGTGATTTTAATGTTTTGGGTTAGTTAACCTGGATAAAAATCATTATTTCTGCCTCCTTTTAAAAACTGAAGATCTGACAATACTGGTTTCATGTTTCACCATAGCAGTAACTGTCTGAGACAACATGGCTGGGCTCTTCAGCTGAGGCAGGCGCTTTCCAGGTCACCATTTCTTCGTTGCCAAATATTTAACACCAACTTGGCATTACTAAAAAACATAAACCAAACTTTCTGGTATCCAGAAGAATTTCAATGTCAGACACATGCTACCAATTATCATACTGTGAGAGTAGTTATTGACATGAATCCTTCTGCTGAGAAACACAAATGCAAAATATTTAGAGTAGCAGAGTATAAGTAAGTGTATTTCTGAAGTGTATTTTAAATTTTCATTTTCTAGAGCAAACACTTTGTAGTTAGTGTGTATCCACTGATGTAAAAACAATTTATGCCTATCATCTCCACATATATTCTCTTGTCGGAGATGGCACAGGAGCAGTGCAAGTGTG